TAGAGAGACTGAACTGAAGAATTGGTGTTGTTGTATTGTGTTTCTGTATCTTACAAGAGAGTGAGCTCCCTCTCTTTATAGAGAGGAGAGGGAGACAAATGGAATCGAATGCATGGTGATTACATTGAGATAGGCTAAAGCTAAAGTGAAAGTCTCCGGCTTTACAGCTACATTACAGGTATACATTGTGGCCTTTACAGGTAGTGGGGTGTATATATATATATTATATGTGCCTTTACAGGTAGTGGGGTGTAGTAGATATTATATGTTAACATGGCTAAAAGCTTCTTCTAAGGATTGTCAGTTTACTATTAATGACTTTATCTACAACATCTGGCAGATTAGAGTTTGTTTAGGCGGCGGGGTTCGTTGCAATTTATAATGACATCTATGTCTCCTAGTGTACAGCAGCAGCTGTTTATGGTCTAGCTCTGTATTTGTTCTGTTTGCTGCTCTGTGGATTTGGTGGCTGAGTTTCTTTGCATATTTGAGTTTGTTTGCAGTTCTGTGGGTCTGTGGGTTTGTAGCTCTGTGGGTTTGGTATATGTTCTGTTTGCAGCTATGTACTCTTGGTTTCTGTTTTGCTATGCTATGCTGTGGGCATCTGGGTTTTTTTGCAAATTTTGGCATAAGGTTTTGGTGTAGGACTGCTGATTTGGGCTAATCTTGGAGAAGTTTTGTATCAGAAATGGAGGTTGAATGATTTGGCTCAAGTTTGGTGGCATGCAACAGATGCTTGGTTAGGTGTAGAGGGTCACTGGGTCCTTTATTCCACTAATATCACTCTGCTGCTAATACTCTGCTTGCCCATATGAGTTTTTTACTGGTTCATCAATCTATAATTGGAGTGAATCCCTTCTGGGACTTGATACAGATGCTCTGCTCAGGTGTTGTGTTTGGTCTCACCAATTAGTTTTTTGTTTTTTGAATGGGTGGATGTTGGTTTGTTTGTTTGTTGAATTGGTTGTTGATTTGAATGGAGGTCATGGTAGCAAAGCTCTGGTTTGTTCAGTGGATTGGCTGAGCTGCTGTGGAGTAAGGTCTATTGCTGGTGTAAGGTCTGATGCTATATGGTCTGATGCCTAAGGTCTGTTGTTGTATTGTTATTGTGATTATTGCTACATTGGATTTGCAAGCGGATGTTGTAAGGACGAACTCATCCTTTAGGCGATAATTTTTGTATCTCATTACAAAGTAAAGAGTTTAAAATTTCTCCACATGCATGTAATGTTATTTATCATTTATTTGTTTAAAGTTTTTCTCTCACTTTGATAATTTTTTTAATGAATTGTATGTCAGTATTTAAATTTTGTTATAATTGAAATTCAGAATTTAATATATGTAATACACTTATTCAGAAAGGAAATAAAATAAAATAAGAACACTAATGCCAGGGAATCATATATGGCTGTCAAGATTAAATTATCAACCATGTACTTAGCAATTACAAAAGCACTGTAATTGTTTAATGGTTTGAATCATGAGCTGGGTTCATATGATTCCTTAATTGAAGGAAACATGTCAGCAAAGCAACTATAATTTTTTTGATCAACCAGTTATCCCATGCCATGCCCATGTAGAAGATTTTGAATGAGAAAAACAGTTAGAATCTACCATTTTATTATTCGTAGGAGTCATGTTAGGGATAATAAAAAAAAAAAAAAAAAATTAGGATAAATTATAAACACATTTTTTGATATTTGATTAAAATACGAATCACTCCTGTAGTTTTGAAAATTATATTCCATCTTTTGAGGTTTCTAATTTCCTAATAAATTGTCCTTTTTATTAATAAATCATGAAATCAATTAACAGTTTTTAATAATGTTAAAAATATATTTCAATTAATAATTTATATTTCAATTATTAACATTATTATGAGGAATAATGTTAGGGATAATGAAAAAAATATTATTAAATTCTTTATGAAAATTCTTCATTCTTAAATTACACATAATAAAACACCACATACAAATCAAAGAATAAAAAATCTTTATAAAACATTTTCATGATATTTTTTTTCATAATCCCTTAACAATAAGTTGGAAAATTAACATGAGATGCTAGCATTTTATTATGGGAGAATTGTAAAAAAAAAAACAAATAGCATCAATACAAAATAATTGTAATGTTATAAAACAAGGAATTTATGCATTATATTGTGCAACTAAGTCTTGTGCTTCCATCTTTTTATAATTATTTTAAATTTATATGGTTTTATTACAATTGTCCCTTTTATTATTGCCTTGCCCATGTGGGACTCATAGGATTTCATATTCAAGGTTGTGTATGATTCATAAATTTAAATAAAAATTTCAAAAAAGAATGAGAAAAAAATGAATAAAATTTAAATGAAATATAATTACATTTTATTTTGATTTCACATATTTTTTTCTTTTTTCCTTCTAAACTTCTTCTCAAATTTATAAACAAAACATAACCTTATAAAAAAGGCTTATTTCTTCCATGGGTTTATTACACTTTATTCTTGAATTACCGTCAAATTATCTACTTAGTCCCTAAGTTGTCTACTATGTACCTAAAGTATATAAATGGATAAATTACCCACATAATTTGTATACTTAACTCTTTGTGGGTGTTTGGAAAGTGATTTTTTTTTTTAATTTTTTGACTTTTTGACTATTTTAATAGGTTATTTTATTTTTTATGTTTGAGAAGATGAAATGGATTTTTTAAGAGTTGTAGTATTGAAAAATGTATTTGAAATGATGGTTAAATGTAAATTTATCAAATTACCTATACAGATATTTATAAAGGAAATACACAAGGTACATGTCCACGTGGCAGTGAGGACACTGCCACCTCTGTCTTGTGTTCCGTTGGGTGCAAAAATTTGTTTGTAAAAAATTAATTAAAGTTGGACTGTTGGACTGCAGCTCCAATACTCAGCTATAGTGCAGGCTACACAACTTTTTTTAATATTTGAGGCTAAAATAGGAGGCTTTTCCCAATATAAGTCCTTTTTTCATTGTATTTCCAAAATTAGGCCAACTTCTGACGGAATTCCAAAACTAAGTTAAAGCGCCATTACTATTCGTGCTTTTACTGTTAGGAGCGCAAAAGTAGATGAACAGGAAAATCGCTATTACAAATAGCGACTTTGATTAAGAAGTCGCTGTTACAAATAGCGCTTCTAGGGTTAATTTTTTTACCAAGGAAAACGCTGTTAATAACAGCGCTTTTAACCCAAATCCATTTTCCCCAGAAAACGCTAAAAACCGCTGTTAAGAACAGCGCTTTTAACCCAAATCCATTTTCCCCAGAAAACGCTATTACGAATAGCGATTTTAACATGAATAAACGCTATTACAAATAGCGATTTTAACAGAATTTTTTTTTTTCGCCCAGCGTTTTTAACATAAACTTTGTTGGAATAAAACGCTATTTTCAAGATAAAACAAAAGAAAAAAACATAAAACATATTTTAAAAAATATATTTACACTGTATATTTTAGTACTTGGCTTTACTAAAGCAATTATCATGTTAAAATATGTTTTTTTTTCTTTTGTTTTTGTTTAGAATGTGTAATTCATAAATTTTACATAATATTACATACTATTTTTCATATATATAATTTCAAAATCATATTCATGTAGATATTATTAAGCCAATCATGTTCATTTATTTGGCTTTACTGAAGCCGTTGTCATGTTACATTTTTCATTTTTTCTTTTGTCTTTGTTTTGATTTAGAAAATGTAATTAAAAAAAAAATTTCGTCTTCACTAAAGTTGTTTTCATGTAAATATTTTTTTTGCTTATTGTTTTGTGTAATTAATTATTTTTTTTTCGCTTTACTAAAGTCATTTTCATGTAATTTTTTTTTTCTTTTGTCTTTGTTTTGGGTTGGAAGGTGTTATTTAGAAAATTATTTTGGATTTACGAAAGCCGTTTTCATTTAAACATACATATATATTTATTCTTTTGTTTTGGGTTAGAAGGTGAGAATGTAATTCAGAAAATCAGTTTAGTAAACCAGTTTAGTAAAACCGTTTTGTACCCGTTTTCATTTATAAAATTTATTTTTTTGTATCGTCTTTGTTATGGGTTAGAATGTGATATGCATGATGTACAGTTCGAAGCACACCCACACACTGTGCAACTCGACGAGCAACGACGAAGGGTGAGACGCGAAGACCACCGCGGAGTAGGCCAAGAAGACAAAGGCCACAGCGAGAGCTCCTAAAATAAATTTTCTCAACATTTTTGTAATAATACTTAATACATAATATACGAAGTCAGTACTTTACAAAATACTCATACGGGCATGAAAACAACATAACTGAAGTTGCAAATGTAATAGTTTTCAGTTACTCAGATCTTTCAGCTTGAACGTGGCATGAATCAGCGCTTTGATCATCTTAATGCTCTTCTCGAGCAATTTGATAGGTGTCTTACCTCTTTAGAGTCTACTACTGGCCACATTGCCTCTTCTGTTGATCAGGTGACCTATCGAGTCTCTTAGCTCGTATCTTATTACTAGATGCAGCCACCTTTACCACTGCCATATCAGTGATTCTTCTTTATCTGTGGTTATTGGTTTCTCAAGGTTCTCGTATTTCTATTCTAGATGTCTTTGGACTTGTTTGATCTATTATGGTTGTAGGTTTTTGGGATTGTCTCTCATGGTTTTATTTGTTTTTGGGATTAGTACTTGCTGTATTTTGAACATGTTCTTGGTTATTCTGCCTTTGTCTTTTCTGGACAAAAATAGGGAGAGATGTTAGCATATGCTTAGTGTTTTTTGGATTAATTTACTTAGCTAATTATTTATTCATCTCTATTGCTATCCATTTATATACTGTGATGCATCTGGATTTGGTTACCCCACCCCTCTCCTCTCATATTGTGGGTATTTTTCATTGTATGCATTGGAGCAGGTTGTATATGCAATTATGCACAAGCAGGAGGTCTTTCAGCCTTTCAGGAATCATCATCGCTTTAATGAGTTGCTTGAGAACATTTTCTGTATGTGCTTGAGAACATTCTTACTGTAGGTTGTATATCCGTCTTTTTCCCTTTATTTTCTTCCCGCATAATCTTTAATTTTTGTAGGTCTTAGATTTTTTCAATAGCCGCATGGATGCCCAAAGAATGAATGGTGAATGCTCGGTGGAGAAAGTCCTCGAAGTCATAATCATCAATTGTCGTTCTTGGCGTGGTGAAGGCATGAAGGTACAAAGCAAATGGTTGTGTTAGTAGGTTTATCCAATAGTGGGATCCTTTTTTATGTTTTTTTTTTATCCAATTAACAGATGTTTACTCAATTACGTTTTACATATGAACAAGAGAGCCATCCTGAGGAGTTCTTTATTCCTTATGTGTGGCAGCTAGTTATATCTCGCAGGTATGTTTCTTGCACTTGATGCACATTTTTTTGTAGGATCTATGCTTCTGCCTTAAAAGATGTTATAAAAATATATAAAATGTAACGAGGTGCATTTTACATTTTAAAGTTAGTACCTGTTTTTTTCTCACTATAGAACATTATTTTCCTGTTGAAAAGACGGAAATAAAGATATGCATGTTGTGGATGGATTAGTTTTTTTTGTGTTGCTGTTTGTAATTTCTAGCATGCTGCACTTATTTGTAGATTTTAGTTGATTAAGAATAGCTTTGATTGAATTTTTAAGCATGATTGGGTCTATTAACTAAATATTAGCAACTGAATGGAGCCATCTTGAATATCGTTATTTATTCAACCTTTTCATTCATATTTGCATACCACTAAGGCACTAATTTCTTTTTCTTGTCACATTCCCTTTCTGCAGCTCATTCAGTTTTAATCCCAGTAGCCTAAATCTGTTTCCAGTTGATCTGCCTGTAAAAGTAAGTATATTGTTTCCTCAAATGTTTTAAAGATGTCAATCATGAATTCAAGAATTTGCTTTTATTTTATTTTATTTTTTATTTTTTTTGGCTTCATTGATTTTTATGGCCTGATTGATTGTTCCTCACCCCTTCATACTCTGCTAGCATTTGTGTCATTCTTTCTAGTTATGAAGCACAGGTATATGTTGTAGTGAAGTTTGTTGAGGTTTTATTATCTTTGTTCGGTAGTGCTGTTTCATAGTGACATAATTTTTCTTTGTTCCCAGAATCATTTGAAGTGGCTAAAACAATATCGATGGGGCCATCATTGAAAAGTGGATCAAAAGTTGGGAAAAGTGGATCAAAAGTTCACGAACCAGACGAGTACCCTCCCCAACATATTTCTTAACAAGTTCACGAAGCTAAATTGTACAAGACTACTTGGCAGTATGAGCATTTTTGGGAGGATTAAATATTTTTGGATGGATGTGTATGGATAACAAATATTAGTAGTTTTATTTGTTGATAGCTGTGCATGGATAACAAATAGTTATGTTTCAAATTGTTATGCTAGATGGATATGACTTGCGAATGAAAACTTATAATAGTTGTATTGTGTCGAATGTTAATGATTCAGTTAATTTGAATGATGCTTTAAAATTATAGGTTTATTATGGATTGAATGAATTATTAGGAATTACAGGTGTATTGTTTTCCTGCTTTGGCGACCAATTTATTAGTCGCGACATCCAAAATAATTTTTTTTCGCAAAAAATGACAATTGCCGACCAAGAGTTTTGATCGCAAAAAATACATCTATTGCCGACCAAAATAGCTCTTGGTCGTGGAAACTCACTTTTGCCGACCAAAAGTTTTGGTCACGAAAACTGACAAATGGCGACCAAATTTTTTGGTCGTGGAATGTCACAATTGGCGACCAAACTTTTTGGTCGTTGAATGTGATAATTGGCGACCAAACTTTTTGGTCGCGAAATGTGTCAATTGGCGACTAAGATATTTGGTCGGGAAAATATCACTTTTCGCGACCAAAGTGTTTTAGGGACAAAATGAATTAGTCGCGGTAATTAAATATTTAGCGACCAAAAATTTAGTCGACAAATCCAACTTTTGCCGACCAACCAAAATTTTGGTCGCGAATTACTTTTGCCGACCCTCAATTGGCGACCAAAGTAGCGACCAAAAAAATTGGTCGCGGATAACTTTTGCCGACCAAAGATAGACTTTTAGCGACTAATTTTTTTGTTGCCAAAAGTGTTAATTCTTGTAGTGAAAGAGAGAGAGAGAATTACCTTACGTATTTTAATTAGTTGTTACATCATTGAATTTGAAAAGTAAACCTAATTTTAGGGTTAAATAGCAATGCCTTAAAAATAAAGAGTTAATGTCAATTTTTAATAAAGATACAATAATATGATGTGTAATACACCATTCTTTTTTACAATAAATTACACTCACCTCCTCTAAGATTTGATGAAAATATAATTAACCTTTTATTTTTGACATTATTACAGTGACTTCGCTTTTTAAAAGGCTAAAATGACCTTAATTGATACAAATAGTAGGTAAATACTGAAATAAACAAATATAGACATACATCCTACTATCAAAGAGATAATAACATTATTTTTTTATTCATATGACTAATAAATTACTAACCAAAAAAAATCATGTTGTTATATGAATTACAACTTCAAAAGAGATTAATATAATAATAATATCAAAAATATCAAATTAATTGTCTTTTTTTCAAATAGAGAGAGATGGTTGTCACTAGTGCCAAAAGATTCATACAAATGAGTTACATGGCTCTTGTGAGACAAAGGCCCTATTTGGTAGACTTTATTTTTAGTTTATTTCAATTTTTAGTTTAATTTAAACTATTTTGATGTGTTTGGTTTAGCTTAACAACACAGCTTATAGCTTTTTATAAATCAAAAATCAACTTATTCTTTGAGTGGGGAGGAGAAACTTAATTTATAAGTTAAAAATCAGCTTATGTTCACAGTTATAAGTTATAAGCTGTTAAACTATAAATTATAATCACTTTCTCACAATTCTATTAAACGGGGCCAAAAACAACATTGAGAGAGAGAGAGAGAGAGATGGTTGCCACTAGTACGAAAAGATTCATACAAACGAGTTACATGGCTCTTGTGAGACAAAAACAAAATTGGGACAGCTGATTGTGACCTAGGCGTAAGGTATATGATGAACCATTTTTGGTGGGTGGGTTACTCTCAAAATGTCTCATTGTGAGTGGTCCCAGAATGGGCCAAGCTGATTTCACAGAGTTTTTATTTACATTTTTGGACTCAAATGGTCAGAGTCCCAAACACACTTAGACTAATACTTGGGAGTAACTCACTGACTAAATCTTAAGGAACTAAGTAGAAGAGGGACATAGTGATACAGAAGACAGGTTCTTAACAAGAGGGATTAAGGACTGCACCACATCTGTCATTAGAGGCCTATAATCTGCTTCTGGTTGCACACACATGGCTGCAATGGCTGCCACCCGTAGCAAAACCACACATAAAAAATTAAAAATTAAAAAATTAATTAGATCGATAATTCTTAAAGTATGCGATGTGTTATAATTTAGTTTTAAATTTTTTTCAGAAAATTACAATATAAAAAACTCTAGAATTTGACTATTGTAACAAAAATAAATCTCGAATTTTTAATTTTGTCTTTTTAAACCCTAATCTTTTGATTTATTTTCATTCTAAGCCATCCATCTATTTTCGTTAAGTAAAATTGATTGAAAAAAGATATCCTAGTCATTACAAAAATATCATTTTTTTTCCATTAATTTTGCTTAACGAAAATAGTTAGATGATTTAAATTAAAAATAAATCAAAAGATTATACTTTAAATTGATAAAATTAAAAACTCGAATTTATTTTGTTACAATTTGTAATTTTCCTTTCTTTTTTTTTATTATTTAATTTGGTTGTTAAATTTATGATTTGTTACAATAATGGGGGGTATTTTCTGAATTTATATGAAATTTCTACAAAGTTTAAAAGATAAAATATACATGTGGTTCTCAAAGCATGTGATGTGTCACACTTCAGTTTTTAATATTTTAATTTTATTAAAAAATTTTGAATATCAAATTATTTAATTTGTTACACTATGCATCGTTTGGTATTGACTAATATAACCAACTTTTTTGTGTTAAAACTTTTTTAGACTCGTTTGGTTTGGATTTTTTGACTTTTGTAAGAGAAAAAGTATAATGATTATGTGTTGGATGTGATATTTTGTCTTATTAGCTTATTTAGCCTATTTTGTCATTTTATATTTTTTTAGCCCCAAAATGATAGCCAAACCGGGGCTTAGTCTCTAGTATGTTGTTCAAAATTAATACTCCCTCTGTTCTAAAATAATAGTCCATTTTGGGGAATCTAAATTTTTTTGGTACTCTCCACCTACTTCACCCACTTAAACCTACTCCACTAAACCTAACCCACTACTTCACCCACTCTCCACCTACTTCACCCACTTAAACCTACTCTACTAAACCTAACCCACTACACCACTACCACCTCACCTACTCCACTAAACCTAACCCACTACACCACTACCACATCCACTTCACCTACTCCTTACCTACTACACACTCACCCTCTTCTATATATAGGAATCATGAATCATTGTAATAGATATCAATAAACATCAATCAATAATACATAAATTCTTACAGTATAATTATTGCACTTTAAAATATTAATTTTTCAAAATTACTCTTTGATAGTACTTTTTTTTTTTGGAAATATTAATTGTTATAATTGTACTTTTTGTATTGTTAATGAATTTAAAAAAATGGCAAAATATGAAATTCATATTATTTTAGTTCTTGATTTTTGAAAATGGACTAATATTTTGAGATAATAAAAAATGAAATAAGAGACTAAGGCCTAGTTTGGCATGTTTAAAAAAAGTCAAAAAGTTACTATCTTATTTAAGTCACATCACATTTCTAACACATCACTTCAAACACAACACAAATCCAACTAAAGATGGCAATTTAAAACTGGCCCGACGGGGACCCGACTCCCCGATCCCGATTAGAGCGATTTATCCCCGAAAAATATCTCCAACGGATCGAGGATGGTACTCAAAAATAAATCCCCGATGATTTTCGGGCCAGGGACGGTGATATGTTTTTCACCCCCGGCCTCGGCCCGTCCCCGCCCCGAACCCGTCCCCGCTAGCCCCCCGAAGTTTATATACCCTTGGGTTACAAGGTTATGTACATTTCTCCCAAACAAAAAGTATTGTTCTGCTTTGTCTCTCTCTCTCACTCTCTCTCTATGTACCCTCTACTCTTTCTCCGTCTCCACAAACCTCTCCTCTCTGTCTCTACAAACCTCTTATCTCCGTCTCCGCAGCACAGCTGCCACTGTCCGCGAAGCCGGCGTCGCTGTCCACCTCGCACCGCCGCTTCACCTCTGTCGACTTCGTCGTCCCTTCCACCTCCGTCGCTGCCCTCTCTCTTCCTGTCCGTCGAGTCACCGTCGTCGCTATCATACAGAGATCTCAGATCTGTGTTGATCTCCTCCATCGTCGCTGCCGATCAGCTGATCTCCACCGATCTCCGCCATCGTCTTCTCTCTTTCTTTGTGTATACATGTATGTATGCGTGTCTGTGTGTATGTATAATGTATGTGTGTATCTCTGTATACATGTAAATTACTCCACCAAATAAAATTACTCTTGTGCCAAATAAAATTACTCATGTGCCAAATTACTCCACAAAAGTTTGGAATTTGTGCAGGTGGAGTAATAAAATTACTCTCTGTGTGTATGTATGTATAATATATCTGTGTGTGTTTTGTGTATGATTTTTTGATGATGTTGTTGATTATGTTGAAAGTTGTTGTTGATGGTGTTGAATGTTGAAACAGATTTGGATCGGGGGAGTTTCGGGGTCGGGGAAACCCAATCCCCGTTGGGGGCGGGGATGAGGACAGTCATAGGTTCCCCGTCGGAGATCGGGGCCGAGGACATTTTCGCCATCGGGGATCGGGGACGGGAAGGGTGATCCCCGGCCCCTCCCCGCCCCGTTGCCATTCCTAAACCCAACTCATATTTCATAAAAAGTCAAAAAGTACACTTATTTAGGACATCCCAAACAACCCTTAATATTTTAGTACGGATGTAGTAACAGAAAGAAGGTTATTTTCAAAATTATAAAAACCTCAACAAAAGCAAAAAAAAAAAGCATATACACACATAGTCCCCAAAATATGCATTTTGTTATATTTTAGTTTCCAATTTTTTAATTTGTTGCATTTCTCTGTAAAATTCCAAAAATATTCCTTTCACCGTTAATGATTTTGAACAATACTAGCCAGACAAACTAAAGAGTAAAATTGCATATTTTTAGAGGAAATAAAAAATTCAAAAAATTTAGATATGAAAGTATAATAATTTACATATTTTGGAGATTATTATTGTGGGGTGTTGATTTCCGACCACACAACCAAATGGAAACCTCAGTTGGAGAGCACCGGCAGAATAGATTAAGCCCGAACACCTACTAAC